AGGCCCGAAATGTCAGCTTTCCTGCTCCTCCGATGCTGCTTGGCCTGCTGTGTTCATCCAGCTCTACACCTTGTTATCCCAGTGCTTTGTTTGCTCTTTTTAATGACCTTTATTAACTTGTGTTATTACTTCAAGAAATTATTGCAGAAAAATGTAGAACACGTAAATAATATGCAATGGTGAAGAGTTCAATGATTCAGCCAGAGTTGTTGCAGATTCATCAAAATGGAATTTATGTCAGAGTGGGGCGCAGAATATTTGTGTATCGTTTGTGGAGTTTGGTCTAAGCAGCAACATCAAATAGTCTGAGGAATATTGAAAGTAACCAAACGATGAGTTTGACTTGGAGCAAGAGTTGAAAGAAGTTGCAGCAATACATGTGAATGCACTGGCCAATTAAAAGAACATCCATTGGTCAAAGTGTGTTATCAAATTAATTCTGGGGCTATAGACATTGCCAGCGAGTCTGACATTTATTGTCTATCACCAGTTGACCTTGAGGAGGTGGTTATGAGCATTCTTAAACTGCTACTTTCTGCATGGCGCAGTTCTCGCAGTGTTTATAAATGTAGGAATCCAAAGTTCTTATTTATAAAATGTGGTACATAGATGCACACTTTTGTTTTTTTAAATTCCGAATCTGCGACATCACTAGATATTTAAACCTGCAATTGATCTTTTTAAGTGTTATTTTATTCTCCTTGTCTGTTTATTTTGATCTAATGCTATTTCTTGAATCTTTGCTGAGGTCCGGTTTTGATGGAATGTGTATATAATGTTGCTGAACCTAGAGATATATTTGGCTCGTGCCATCTCCTCTGAGTTCCATCTCAAGAGCCAGCTTTCCCCATCTAGTGGCAAGCAACGTGTTCCCAGAAACTTTGCCACAAAGCTGTGAGTTTCAAATTAGCAATGATGTGATGACAGTGCCTCTTGCTGAAGCTTTGCCAGTAACATAAATGGATTGATGCCTTTGGAGCTGCCCCTCTCATAATGGATTCTTAGAGTTCTGAGCCAAAGATAAATGATACTGATTGTCATTGGGAACTCCTGTCTCAGGTATCAGGTAGGCAATTTTGTACAGATGTATTGTAGTTATTACATTGCTGTCTCTATAGATCTTTTTTCTGATACCAGAGAAGGTCTGTATTCAGAAAAATAGCAACAACTGCATGTTACACCTCTGTGCAGAAATTGTTGTTTTAGTTTTAGTTGTAATCTGGATTTTAAACTGGTCACTGTAAATTCAGTCGCATCGGTCTCATTATTATATGATTTTAAAGTCAGTTTAACTCTGAGCCAGCTATCAAATTTTATTCTAAACCCTTTGATATTGGCTTAGACTCTCAGCCTGAAGTATTGACTTTTCATGCATGTGTTGACTTTTTTCACTTAAGGTACACGTTTTCAGTGCTCTGTCTACCAGAAAATGTAACGTCTCTACATTTCTGTTTGTTTTAAGCTAATGTGAGAGAAAGTTTCTTGTCTCTCCATTGCTGTTGTTAAGGAATTCAGTGCTATCTGCTCTAAATTTTAGTCATTGTGGCAATTTCACATCGTAAGTTCTGTTTGCAACGCCATCTGACTGTAAGCCTCAAATTCTGTTAACTCATTTTACTACTTTGCTATGGTGCTAATTATTAATCCTGGACATGAAAGGATAATATTTTTAGAAATTTAACTTTTTCCACGAGATGATCTTATATCACCTGCATGTCCTTTTATTTTGATGGTGGAGACCATGCTCTTGTGTCTCACTGCACTGACCATGCTTCAGGAATAAGATTGGGAAGTTGAGGGTCACTATGGAAACAATTACAGTTACATTGGATTCAGTAATGCATAGCTATATCAGAGATTACTGAAATCAGGAGTGGGAGCCCGACACAGTAGCTTTTGCCAACATCTCTTCCCTCTCCTTACACCAGCCCAGGCAGTTTGAGGCTGATAATAATATCTTCACTGCCCTCTGGCAGGGATTGGCTGATTCAACAGAAGGCTGCCTCATCATTATTACTCAATATCACAGTGCAAAGGAGACTGACTTATTGAGCTTTTGGAGAGGATGAACCAAATTCATTCATACTTATTTATTTATAACAGTGCAGTTTGAATATTCTCTTAATTCTGGCCGCTTTGATGTATAGCTAATTTTAAAACATCTTGAAATGTTTAATCCAACTGATATGTATATAAAAAAAACCTTAATTGAATCAGCAGTTAATATATTCTTAAGTTTTTGAAGTCAAGCTTAATAGCACCAGAAAGTATATACTGTGCCTATAACCTTTTCACTTGGTATTTCTATAGATCTTTTTCTCCGATGCCAGAGAAGCTCTGTATTCAGGAAAGTAGCAACAGTTGCATTTTACACCTATGTGCACAAATGGTTATTTTCATTGCAATCTAGTTTTTAAACTGGCCTCTAAGTTCAGTTAGGAAAGACTCAGAACAATTAACGTTCAGGTGCTTCTGAGGCTGTCAGAATTTTTTAATTGCTTACTGTGATGAGAGAATATTTTATTCCCCACACTTTGTTTTCCTAAAGCTCTTGATGCATCCATTTCATCCACAAACTATCACAGTGTGTGATCGTATCATTTGGTTAAAAAAAAATAAATGCAGCAGTAGTATCAGAAATATTGCACACTATCTGGAGCACAGTTTGGTCATCTCTAGATCATGCTTTTGCTGGTGAAAGGCTGAACACCAGGAAGTAGCATTGACCAATTCTAACAAATGGGACATTTTTTTTTGCAGTGTTCCAGTCCCAGTCGTCAGCCTTGAGAAGATCCCTAATTTGGTGAAAGCAGATGGTGCCAATGTTAAAATGAGCGCCACCACCACTACCACCACCTCCACGTCCTCTGCTGCTTCATCCTCCACATCTTCTGCAACTTTGGTTAAATCTGCTTTGACATCAACAACTTCAAAGCCTGTGCCACCTTCACCTGAGAAGATTCTAAATGGCAAATCAATAGTACCTCCTGCAATAGACAAGAAACATCAAAATGGCACTAAAAGCAGCAATAAGTCTCACAAAAGACTTTCTGGTAAGTATTTTCATTTATTTTCTTCTGTAACACCGTTAACCACTTGTCATTGTTCATATTGTTCGTCGAGAAAGAAGTTGACAAACGCAAGACATTAATACCTATGAGATGTTGGATAGCTGGATTGTTATTCATTGATATGATACTCATATTGAAATTACAATAAGAAGCAAAACAAAATCGTTTGAGTGCTTTTGAAAAGTTATACCTTACAACATGTCATTTCAGTGGGTGTAATCTAATGTTTATATATTTAATCATCTGGGTTTCCTAAGGAGGGCAATGGTTAAGACTAAAAATATGTTTTTGGGTAGTTAGTACAATTTAAGACTCCTTCGTTTTATCAGAACCAGAATTGTTATATAGGATTGAATATTTTGATATCTGTGAATATAGGGTTTACACAATGGGGTCTTCTGCCCACGAGCTGAGGAGAGAACAAAATAATAGAATCTGGAATGTGCTAGTGTCTGAACGTTCGGTGAAGATACAATTAGGTCAGCTACACTACTTATTATAGTCAAACATCATGTCAACACTGATTCCCTAGGTTCTGATATGAAAACTGGCTCCTTAGATCAGGTATAGAATCATCGAATCCCTACAGCGCACATAGAGGCCATTTGGCTCATCAAGCCTGCACTGACTCTCTGAAGAGCATCTCACACCCTCACTCTATCCCTATTATCTC